TGAGCTGATCTCTACGGCCTGTGAACTTGGCGCCGTCCCTAGTCACTAGAGATTCAGCAGCTGCTCCCAGCCAAGTTGGACGTGGTCGGCTCAAAGCTACAAACTCCATCCTGCTGTGCCATAGCTGCAAAGGTTTTTGAGAGGGGCCCCCAAAACTTCCCAAGTATGTTGTAGTGCAAATGGCCTTTGTCCAGCGCAGCAAGTACTTCCAGGCTGGAGTTTCTGGCAAGCAGGAGTTCAACGGCTGTTCAAGGACCGGACAGCTCAATGAGACCCACGCTAGAAAATACAACAAAGCACTCAGCAGGCCTAGAGAGTTCCCCTCTACAACTCTGGGGTTTGACAAGTTTCCCAGAAAGTCATTTGAGGGAAACCTCATGGTGGTTGCTCTGCAAAGCACTACGTATGAGCTACACTGCGTAGCAAGCCAGCTCAGGCCTTTCTCACGCAAAGAACCCAAAGCCTCAATGTAGAGTCGTAGACCGGATGCTGTCAGCACATCATGGGAGGACCCATACAAATAGTCAAACGAGGCTCCTCTCAGCTGTTTCCTTAACAGCTCCTTGGACAGCGCTGCATTGCCCGCAAAAAACTCCACAAAATCCAGCATGGACTGAGTGTGTGCCTCACGGTTGTACATGGTTCTTTCAATGAGCTTGTGAACAATCTCCTTGAGAGAAACCGCTTGGAACTCCGGATAGGCCATGTGAAGAACGGCAGCCCACTGAGAGATCACTTGCGGCGCATGTCCTGAAATAAAGTCAAGGCAACCACTGGCAATGACCTTCAAGTATGCCAGCGATTCCAAGGCCATTGTGCACCTGCCAGGAATGACTTCCCATCAAAATTCATCATTATTAAATTAAGCGCCCACAGTTAAATCAAAAGAATGTCAAAACTAACTTTGGAAACGACTAACGTAGTTGTGCCTCCCAAAGTGCGCAAAGGTATGAAAGTCAGCCAGCTGCAGTTTGGAACAACATGAAAACAAACTCTCAACTGGGTCATCCTCAGTTTCAGCTGTCGATGCCAATCTGCTCGTGCAACTCTGCCCCTGGTGGCCAGGAGCAACACAGGCAAATTTTGGAACCGGAGCTGGCCCTGCTGGCTCCATAGTCCGTTTCTTTTTTCCACGCTGTTGCTGAGCACCAGAGCACACAGTCACAGACTGCCACAAGACAATCATTGGAGTCATCATCATAGGGGTCATGAGTCAAAAGTGAAGCAAGCGTTAGCGGCTAATGATGAAGCAACCCAACACTCATGTTTTCCCTGCAAGAACACGCAGGTATTTACAAGTATGATTTGATCCTTCCCTATATACTATCATCAATCATACTTCATACTATCATCGCTTGCCTTGTTAGTAAGCACAGCAGGTCAAAGTGATAAGGACCGATGTTTCAACAACTCAAAACAATCAAACTGTTTAAACTGAAGAGCAATGCAGAATGACTATTTTTTACACCTCAGCGCCGTTGTCTGAAAATTGGTGTGTCGCATGTGTCATTGAGTCGCAAGTGAAGTGGTCGTTCAGCCGTACTTCTTTGGAGGAGGCATCTTTTCAATCTCAGGTTGCAGGTCGGACAAGACATCCTCCGGAATCACTCCAGGGGATTGAGGGTCGCTAGAGCCAACCATGTACCCCGCGATCACCATCATGTTGTGCTTTGTCCATGCATGGTTGTGGACATCTGACAGGGCTTCTTGCCATGTAGGGGCACCACTAGCGAAGGACTTTGAGTAGCTCTTCTGGCTGTAAGGAGCCTTCAGCTTTGAAGAGGACTCATGAAATCTGCTGCCAGTCTCGACTTTGAACCGGTGGTCGTTGTACGTCATCCGAAGCATCATTCCGGGCGGGCAGAGTTGGTTGAGAATCTCAGCTGGGCTCCGATGGACCCGAACAACAGGTGCACGAACAGGTGACGATGCTTTGGGTTTGTCCCTTGAGCTTCCCGCGGCTGTTGGGCCACCTTCTTCAACTTGAGACTCTTCAGCTGCTGTTGGATGCAAGTTGTCAGCCTCCTGAAGACGAGGCTCAGACTCCTGTGGCAAAGACATCCTTTCCTGAGAATGTTCATGAACTTCCAGGGGCGCAGATGAAGCCGCTGCCACTGCCACGACTACTGCTGGTTGCAAGTCTTCTTCTTGCTCATGACTAGCAGCAGCAGGACTCCCAGGTCGTGAGGCTTCTGCCACATCATCAGCGCTCCCTTGAATTGGTGGTGCCACCAGCTCAGAGTCAGAGTCATGTGCATCAAGTTCCTGAACTGACTCATTGCCAACATCAGCTGCACCATGACTAGCAGCTTGAGGCCCTGATCCACCGTTGCCACCATCACTGCCATTGCCATCACTGGAATCACTGCCATCACTACTGCTTTCCCCACTGCCATCACTGCCATCATCCAGTGGGTGGTGATGATCATCACTGCCATCATCCGAGTCCTCCGACTCCTGGTCATCAGGATCATCGTCATCCTCTCGCTTCCTCTTCTTGCTTGCTGCAGAAGCTGGCTGACGACCACGTCCTCGACCACCACGACCCCTTCCCCGGGCTCTCCCACGTCCACGCCCACGTCCGCGCATCAAAGCCTTCTGAGCTTTTTTGGCTTCTTTAGCCTCCGGGATGAGGGGAATTAAAAGGTTCATGATGATATGTTTAATGCGATGAACATTGGAACTGCTTGACCCTTTCACGAAAAGAAATTCAATAAACAATTCCAGCAGGTCAGGTGTAAACAAACGCCCGACCTCAATCTCTGCCTTTTTCTCTTTTTTCCATTCATTCCATAGCTGCCTCTTGGCAAAGGAATACCGTTCTGCTGATGAAACCTCCTGCTTGAGGTCTTTGAAATTGGCTCGCTCCTCCAAACTCATGTTTTCCAGTAAGCATTCCATGAAATCAGATTGGTTTTCATTCCGCCTGCTACCACAAGACTTGCCCTTGCCCTCAGCCTCCAAAACTTCCTTGGTGTACTCCTCATCGTTCCGACCAAATCTGAAAGCTAGTAGCTGAAGGGCACCAATGCGAGTTTTCTGGCTGCTTCCATTTGGAATCCCATAGTGGTCACAAAGGACATGGAAATCATTGAGGACAAAGTTCCCTGGTGAACGCAAAGCAAACTTGACAAGACGTTCAATGATGCCACTGCGCTGAAAGCAAAGGCCAAAGCCGAGGTCAGCACGCCACACAACTGTAAAAGGAATTGCTTCCCAGTCATCAGGGTTGTACACGAAGATCCATTGAATTTCTGCGCCAGGCTTCACTTGAAGCAAGTTCTCACCCACCCACACCACAGGGCACGCCAATGATGCCCACTTGTAGCTTTGAAGAATGAGAAAAACGTCGCCTCCCTTTTGGATGAGAATGCCTTTCTTGCAAAGAAGATTCAACAGGCCATCCTGCACAGAGTCAGACACACAGAACGCCAGAAGCAGTTGAAGAATACTTACTATGTTTTTTTTGTATTTCTAATTCTACATTACCCCTCCCCCAAAAGATTGCCTGGATTTGCACCAATGACTGTGAGAGGTCTTCTGAGCTGTAGTAGCGCAGCCATTCCCAAGCGGCAGCTGAACAACGAAGGTTTGGCTCTGTGATCGCTGCCCAGCTACGTTCCCTTTTCATGATCTTCCCGAAGAATTTGGGCAATTTGTGCGTCTTCGGATTGCAGCGGGCATTGGCCTTGTAAGTGTCCTTGGTCTCACGCCACAACTGGAGGAAAGCATCTTGAGTCACTGCAGGACCATGACGGATCTCTCTCTCTTCCAGTGTACCGGAATCATTCACAATCAATTGCACAGCCGGCCTGGTCAGTTTCTCATTGCTTTGACTCTTTTGCCTCATACGAATGCGACCATGTGTGTCTTCTATCAGTTTGGAATCTGGGAGAGTCCTGACCAGAGAAATCAGAATCTCAGTCGAAGGCCTGTGATTTGGATTCCAACCTGAAGCTTCAAACCCTAGCATGCACAGCCGGACACAATCGTTGGCCAACAACTTGGCATCTGCCAGGAGGTTGTCAGAATGTGGAACACCTGAGAGCTCCAGGGCAATCAGCAGCTTCAAATCCTTTTTCATACGCTGCAAAGAAGTGATGTCACCCTTCAAGATTCCAGAGTATGAATATGGTGGGCACCCATACCGGCTCAAGCTGCCGCTGCAATGTCCCAGAAGGCTTGTCAAGTACGAGAACACTTTCTGGACCATCTGGTGCACATCACAGGACCAGAAAGCAATGGGCTCAATCTCAGCAAGGCGAACTGAAGTCAAAAAGTCCGCAAGTTCCAAGAGGTGGGGCATGCCTCGCCACTCCTTGGAGGCCTTCACAGAGAATTCCAGAGAATCATTTGCTGTTTTGCAATCACGCACCCGCTGGCAAAAGAAGGTGTAGAGCGGCTGGGCACAAGTCAAAACGATTTTGGTGTCTTCCCAAAAGTTCTGTGAAGTGCACATGTAGCCCAGCTTTAACCCTCCAGCTCCTTTTCTCAAAGCTTTGAAGTTGTCCAGGGAGTCTGGGTTGATCTCTTCTTCACATTCAAGGTAGACCCCAAGCACCATCCGGGTGGCCCACCACTCCCTCATTTGCTCTAATCCAACATCATGGAAAGAAAACCACCTTCCACTCTTTGGAAGAGACCCTTTGTTCACAAAGCTGGTGAGCATCTCAGGCAATGCCTCCCACACAGCCCGCTTGTCCTCTTCAGAGCAAAGCGGCATCCCAAAGTCATATGCAATGCGGGCTACATACTTTTCAAAGACCGAAGAATCCTGGCTCATTGTTTGCTGCAGTTTCCACATGGCATTCATCAAATGGTTGTGACACTAGAACATAAATAAACATACTTGTTTTGATCTACGAGCTTTCAACCAAACATAAATAAAAACATGACTCTGGTTGGCAAAAAGTTCTGCTGATGTCGTGGACATGAAGTGTGCAAGCGCTGCCTTCTTCTCCTCCCAAAACTGACCCGACCCAAAGGGACCATAGTTTATTCCCCATAGGAACCGGGACGCACATGTGGCGTCAAGCATTCCCGCTGCATCAGCACTCAGCTTGCAATCATTGACCAGGCGATGGTAGGGGTCGTAGATTCCATGGACAAGGAAGTGGTGGCCATACAGGAAACTCATCGAGGCCTGCATGTTTGGGCCCTGGTCACCTATGATGCCCAGTGTTGTGGATCGCTGAACCATACCAAGAAGATCAACATCAAACACGTTTCCATCTTCCTTGGTCACATGCAGCCAACCATTTTCAACTGTCCTCACATCTCCAGGTTCAAGCCTCTCAATTGCTGGAAGCTGATCCACAGGCACTTTCAAATCAGACATGCTAAGCTGCTTGCGAGTCACCAGCCACAACTGCTTTGATAATGCCTGGATCAATTTGTAACTGCTCAGTCTCTCACCCTCTCTCCGTGCTAGTAGTCGTTCCACCTCCATCTCTAAGTCATAGTCTCCTGGGCTCACGAACTTTGAAGGCCAAATAGCCATGCAAGTTGCCCAGCCTGCCACCTGCTCCATAGGGTCGAAAACACAGGTCACAAGGGTGTCTCGGCATCCATGGGTGGAACCGTCCGTGATCAGAGTCAAATGTTGAGCTCCAATGAAGCAAAGCTCCAATCTTGTATCGTACATTTGCAGGAGCTTCCTTTGCCAGCTGCTAGCACTTCCTGGGGTGTTGCCTCCATGTTCCTCTCTGGCCCTAACCTTGGCAAGCCTTGTCATAGACATGTTCAAATCCCGAGCATCACTGAAGAACTGCCAGATTTGGGCCACATGAATCTTTCTCTGAGAGCGTGCAGGTTGATCTTCAGAACCACGGCTGTTCCTGGTTGGGGAAGGTTGCGACAAACCAAAAGCACAAACATTGGTCATTGGCTCCAGTCAAGTCATGTGTATATAATTTACATATTGATTGTACATTTACATTTAGTTTAATTGATATTCTATGGCATCATTTGACATCAACAAAGCTTCTAATAATTGTAAGACTGGTGGAAAAAGTATAACTTGAGCCTGACCAGTTTAACCTGAAACAAGTCCCCTGCCCTGCCTCAATCGTCTTGCAGGGATGTTCTCAGCTTCTTCACTCTGGTTGGCAGGATCTGCAGCGTGAATCTGCCAGTAGTAGAGATGCAGAACGTGAGCCAATGAATCAACTACAGAGGTCAACAACAAGCATACGAGTTCACCAGACTTGTGCTTTGTCCATGAATGTTTTGCTTGTTTTCGCCTTGTTTTTGCAACCGAAGTCAAAAACAGCAGGACATCGAGGAATGTACTTGGCTCATCCCACGAAGTGCTCAAAAGCCCTGTCCCTGATGAAGTCATGCTGTCCCATTGAAGCTTCCAGGCACTCTGGAAGGTCCCATGTGCACACCTCACCACCTCTTGAAAATTGCTGATGATTCCAGTCGAGGTCACTTCAAGGTCGGGGTGTCCAGCACAAGGTACACTGAAACCTCCAGTCATGTGAGCGACTTGGTGAACCCTGAACGCTGCATTCTTGAGATGCGATAGGGCAAGTGCTTCTCTGCTGTCTAGTCTAGCCTTCCCAGCATAGATAGCCAAGAATTGAAAGAGAAGATCAGTGCGACAGCAGTTTGCATCCAAAGCCCCAGGCCTCCAGTTTAATGATGACTGACGATTGAGTTTGAACTGCGATGGTATCTATGTTGAACCATGTTGGCTAGAGTCTCAAAAGAAATAAAGTCGCTGCTAGTCTATCCAGGTTGATGTGTTGAAGAATCTTCATTGAAAAATTCTTTCAAGCAAAAAACACAACAGTGAGTTCGAGAAGCCTCAAGACAGAGCCACGGAGGTGAAGCGCATCCTGGAGGTTCATTTCAACAGCCAAAGATCTGATCGACTCATAGAACTTACTGGATGATTCTTCACCAGCACCATCTCGGAAAGAGTCGTGGATGTATGCCAAGTCCCAAAATAGAACTCCGCCTTGATGAAGGCAATAAGCAACGGTTGAGGGAAAATTGGTACCAGAACGGAGAACGATTCTGTCAGCGTTGTGAGGTAACAGTGGAATTTCCGGCTGCTGCCATGCCACAAGCGGTGCTGCCATGAGCTACAGGTTATGCACCATCATATGTCATAAGTCATGAATGACGTTCATAATTTCAAGATATAATAAGTCCTTAGTCTCTTGTACTGATCGCCGCTAGAACGAAAACAGGTCCATCCATGTCCTTCACTGACAGATACCCTAACACTGATGATGCAAATGAAGTTTACAGAATTATCAAAAGTCATGCAAGTATTATATGCATGAAGCAGGCCACCTACCAAGAAGAGACATGGCAAACTGAAACTCTCTTTTGATCTTCTTCGACCCCAGCTCTATTTGCAACGTCAAACCGCTGCAGAACTGCTTCTGCATAGTTGCATCCCCTGATTTGAGGTACGAATTGCTTTCTCAAAAAGAGCTTGCAGCAAGAAGCCATGGAGTGAACACACATAAATAAAAAACAAGTCATTTCCCATGAATGAACTGTTGCCTGGTTACCTTCAGCCAGTCCACTCCATTCCTCAAGTCCCAAGCTCCCAAAGCAAACTAGTGGCAAAAGATCACATCGCTTCAGATGTTCAAAGCAACACTGGTGTCCCATTGTTTTCAATGATTTTTTGACAACGCCTGCAAACACGACCACATCATTTTCATGAGTCATTTGTCATTCATGCCATCCTTATCAATCATGAAAATTAAAATGTTCTCAGTCATCAGTCATCAGTAGATTACATGAAGGTCGGCTCACTATCTTGCATCTCACCATCATCAGCCACTTGATTGGCGCCAGCTGCTGGAGGAACAGCGGCAGCTGGAGGAACAGCGGCAGCTGGAGGAACAGCGGCAGCTGGAGGAACACCGGCAGCTGGAGGAACACCGGCAGCTGGA